TTTTCTCACATTTTTTTATAAAAGACACTCATACTTACACTTTACTTTATATTGATATCGAACTGTGAAAGTATACATATTTGTGGCAACGGTTTCGTTTTGGTGCGGAGAATATGCAAAAAATAGTCGATAGTAGGTAAGTTGTGATGCTATCTAGCTATGTGTCCACTAAGTAGTGACGAGCAATAAGAATGGGTTGGAGAATGGGAGTATAGTGATAAAAAGGGACGGTGCAAATATCGTATTTGCGTTGATAAAACTGGACGGTGCAATAGATATTTCAACTATCTAGGAAATTTATTTGCGACCTTCACAATTATGATTCAATTAAGATTCTACTTCGTAACACTATTTTTGGACTTATTACATAACTTTTGCTTTCGCGCGCTGAATTGTGTAATAAACAAAAAAAGTAAGGTTGAAGTTACTTTTCTGGTTGTATTGGCTAAATTTATGTAGATGATCATTTTAGCTATTTTTACATATATTTTTTTCTTTATTTTATTAATAAAATATATATTAAAAATATTTTTTCTTAAATCAGCCAATGCAACCACTTCAGCCAGAACTTCATAAATTTCAACATAATCAGCCAAATCAACTGATTTTTGTTCTACCAAATGGGCTCCCGTTCTTCCATAACGTGTCAATTTTGTCTATATATTCAAAGCGCAGGATTACACTTACCCGATCCATCCCATATACCATTCATTCACTTCTTTGTACTCCGTATTATGTTTGTTGTACGATTCATGGTCGGATCGTATGTATATGATTTTGATAGAAGTTGATCCTTGAGTTTATCATCTGTTTATTATACGGATCGGAGTAACATGAAACAAAATCTCTTGAAATTCAGTTTTCTTGTGATCAAAATTCACGCAGGTTCCAGATGATGTATGTTGTTTTGGAAGAACGAGAGTACAAAAGACTCCTAATTGTGAAGGTCACAATTAAATTTCCTATATGGGTGTATTTATTATGTTGTATGGAGTAATTACCCATTTAAATCCCAAAACAAACTACTTTTCTATCCCAAACATATATACCCAGTGTCTCATTTTAAGTCCCTTTTTTGTTTGCCCCAGGTGGTCCGATCAAACTAGACTAATCATGGGCTATGAAGAATCCACATCAAACCCTTAAGAGAAGTAAAATTAGGTTATTACCACCATCTTTACACCGCGCACAAGAAATCGTCCTTAACTAATTGTTGCGCGTGTCGCTTGAGGTGAGATGAAACCTTGATTGTGTGACTACTGGAGTTAGTCCCGGGAGCTAGAGGATCATTTTTTTGAGAAAAATCTCTCAAATTCACATCCTTAGTCTTGACTTAAACTCAAGACCTCCCCCCACAATAGGAGGATTTAAGTGTGGGAAGTAGTCTACTTGGACTGCTCCATTTGATAGAGGATTTGTTTATAACATGTAATTATATTGAAAATTGAATGATACAATTAATTATATAAGGTGAAATATATTAAGAAAAAATAAATAGAATGATATTTATATTTAGATAAAAAGTTGCATGTATAGGATATTAGGATAGTTGTACTTGTGGTGAAGCTGTAACTTATTTATATTTAGAGCCCGTTTGGTAATACTAAAATTGATTGAATCGCATCGGATGATTTTATTGAAATTTATGAATTTCTATCTGAAGTAGCTGTATTGGCTGATTCTGCTGATTTATGAAAAAGTTATATTTAAAATATCTTGTATTAATAAATAAAAAGAAAAAATTATACTTCCTATGAAAATAGCTAAAATGATCCTCTACAGTAACTTCAGTCAGTATAAGCAGAAAAGTAACTTCAACCTTACCTTTTCTTATTATTACTCTTCAGCCCGCGAAATCAAAGTTATGAGTTTGGTGAAAAAGTTGACTGATAAGCCTGATAAATCCAAAAATATAATCACCAAACCAGCTCTTAGTTATAGCATAAATGTTTGAGGCAGGTGCTGAGGTGTGTCATTCTTTTTTATTAATGGGTATGCATGCGTAAACCATATTTTTCGACGTACACTTTCCATTTGAGTAATTATCATCAATTAATAAAATCATACGAGTTTCTCAAAACAAAGCAAAAAATGGGGGGTCATGGGCAACGTCCTTGTGAACATCTCGGCATCTCCAGATACTTTAATTTTCTACAGGATATAATGATATGTACTTTACAAGTCTTCTAAGCTAAGCATTGCAACTTTGCAAGCCCGGAAATAAAACTTGATGTACGCGTAGCTTGTAAGTTACTCCTCAAAAGTGTATTAGATCACATAGGCAATATGTGAATAATTGATGTCTTGTCTAGAATAATAACTAAATATAGGCAATATATATGTAAATAGAGTACTTATAAGTTATAATGTGTGTGTGAATTCTTCCAAAAAAAATGTGTGTGTGTGTGATGAACTAACATACTATTAAAATATGGTAAGGTGGTGAAGAGGACATATATAATCATGTCTTAATCCCCGGAGTCTTAAATTTTAATGAGCATTCAGATTTGATTGATTGGGCCATTTTAGAGCTCAGGAGTTTGAATATATAGACATATAGTAGTGCATGACTTAAATACTTAGAAAAGGAAGTGGTTAGATTATTTTTAAATGTGATACTCTTAAATAATAGCAATCCCTCCCGCTAAGATTGTACGTAATATAATATTTCCTTTTCGATCTGTCTCACTAAGATTGTTTCATACCAAATTTGGTAAAGTTTCTATATATTGGTCTAAATGATTCTTACTTTATTACATTATCAATTTAATATCAACCACACAAACTCACTTTTCTTAATAACCGTATTAATCTCTCATTTTCCAATATTAGTGGAACAGAGGTAATATTATTTATATTTCATAGATTTGCAAACATCTATTTTTTAGCATTAATTATTAATAAGATAGACTAATGAACTATTCATTTACCTTGAAGTTAAGTGGTCTGATTTGAATATGTCCAGTCATCTAATCTTGTTTAAATTGGCCTAGCCTCATGACCGGTTCTAGTCTAGTCCAATTAAATGTGATATGTTGCGATGTGAACTAGTCCAAAGTAGTTCTGATCTGAACTAGTCGGACTACTATTAACAGATGATCATCTCTAATTCTCTATATCATTTCACAAGGTAATAAATTTAAAAAATCATAAATGTCATTGTAGGTTTATTATGGTACTGACAATTTTTTTATATCACTAATAATTAGTGTAGACATCATTGACATTGTCGCTGCCACCGTTGTCGTCATCATCGCCACCAATGTTACTACTATCGTGGAACATGTAGTTGTGAGCCCCAACGAATCTTTTTTATAAAAAAATTGAAAAAAAGGGAAATAGATTACAACAACAAATTTCCAATGGTCTAGCTTCGGCTTTTGACGGTTATTTCTTGAGATAGTTGAATAGAGGGTGGTCAAAGATTACTACTTTACAAAGAGAGGAAAGGATTAAATACGTTTTTAGTCCTTGTAAATATTTTGTTTTACACTCCTATTTTTTTCATCATTGAAATATAAGTTAGTTTTCTTTATAGTCTATCACCGATGATGACAACTTATGTTTGACAATGAAAGTACGAAAAAATTCCGACTATTAAGTTTTTACTGTAATTCTATGTCATGTTATTAAAAAATTATTCAATTTAATTTTTAGAAGGTTTTTAATATATGTTTATAATATGATGAATTAGATTTAAATTATTTTAACTCTCATAAAACCCTATAAAAACTTATAAAATTAAATTTAAAAATTTCAGTAGATTTATGCAACCGATACTAATTTTATTCTAGCTTTTGAAGTTAGAAATGGACTAAAAATAAAATAACGTATATTACAGAGATGAAAACAAAAAAAAAATTACAAAAACCTAAAATAAAAGTGTCAGATTTGCCAGGACTGAAAACATTTTTAAGTCAAGATGAAATTTTAATTAATTAAACATAAATTGACCACATTTTTCTTATTAGTATCACTTTTTATAAAGATTTGTTATTGGGAAAACTATCAAATAAGCCCCCGTACTATACCGAAAAAGTCGATTAGGCCCTTGTACTTTACAAACACTCAATTAAGTCCTCGAACTATTAAAAAACGTTCAATTACGCCCTTTCGGTCGGTAAGTAACCGGTTTCCCGGTTAAAAGTAACCTGTTTCCCGGCAGCCGCCGTTGCTGGGGTTCGAGCACATCGCCGCCGCCGTCGCCGTTTAACCGGGAAACCAGTTACTTACCGACCAAAAGGGCTAAATTGAACGTTTTTTAATAGTTTGAGAACTTAATTGAGTGTTTGTAAAGTACGAGGGCCTAATCGACATTTTCAGCATAGTACGGGGGCTTATTTGATAGTTTTCCCTTTGTTATTCAATTGAGGTCTCTCAAGTCTGGATTGGGATTCTCAGTGCCTTGTATCGAGTACTTGCCCAATAAAGAGTAGGGATTGAAAACAAGGTCTCAAAATTCATGAAGGAGACTCTTTCATCTTTAATCGGGTGCCTTGCTTTTGCCTTGCTGCCATAGCAAGAGATCTAGAATTGCTTGGAACAAAATGAGTAGATGAGAATGAAATCCAATTTATATTTGTTCATGTTTTCATGTATTTTGGAATTGTAGCATCTCAACATGACGAAACACATACAGTTAAATATGAGGGATTTTCTTGAGAAAACCTGGAAATATAACTATGATATATATATTTATGTAACATGTCATATTTAATTGGACTAGTTCAAAAATTATAATGAACTACTAGTACTTGTGAACATGATATCCATTCTTGTAATGTAAGTATTTTGGCCTCTTTGACATGATGTCCAGGTTAAAACTAATTTATAATTTTGATATTCTAGATTCAAAATTTAAATTAAGGAAACTTTATTAAATATCATTATATTTGTTCATATAAGTATAATAAATATATACTTGTAATTTTATGTGATACAAAACCATGTACACCGATCAGCCTTTATCTCAAATAATAAAAATAATAATTTACCAAGTGTAGGCAACTAAAATAGAAACGGTTATCAAAACGTATAAAAATATCTTTTGAGTTAATACACATATCCTAAAGCTAACAGCTCAAATTTACTAGTTATAAATTTGAATAAAATCCAAAGATAAAGAGTACAGAAATGTTTGTGTGTTAAAAAAACTAACCCTCGTCATTTAGAATTGGATGGAAGTTCAAAGAGATTTCCCAAAGTAGCAGGTTCGCTTGTGTACAAAGATCACATTCATTACAAGTCTTGACTGGAACAAGAAACATGGAAGAAAAGAGTCATTACAAGTTTATCTCCATTTCAAAGAGGCCCCAAGTGTCCCATTGTGCAATGAGCCAGCCAATGATGTCAACCATGTAATTTACATTCGTCAGCTTCTTTAACCTGTGAGAATAAACAGATACTGAAAAAGAAGTGAAGTACTGCCAACCACCGTTGTGTTTGCATGAGAGCGAGAGAGAATAATACCAACAACAATCAAGATGATGCCTTGATCTCCCTCTTCATCAACTCAGCAGCATAACTTTTAACCTCTCGGATGTTCTAGTAGTGAAGGGCTTGCCAACTTCAGTAGTCGGGATATAATTATAAACAGAAAACGCTGACATTTAACAAAGGAAGAAAGAAGGATATCTTTTCATCATGAATGGGATGGTTGAGCATCAGCAGCTTATTGTTATTCACAATAGACCGAACTAATAGTTCTTTCGCTTCCTCATGCATTTTCCGAAGCATGTTGCATATCTGCAGACAGCCAGAAATTAATTATTAACTTTTAGACAAGGCAGACACACTTCACCCATATAACTGCATAATATTTTAAGTTTTAACGCAGCAGTTCATGAATATTCAAAGATGATTACATCTTCAAGTGCCTTCGTATATGTTTCAGCCTTGTCTACATTATCATCATCTTCCAATGTTTGAAGGTCTTCTAATTCTTTTCTGTTCACAGGCTTATGAATATCAAGTGCAGACGCTGGAGAACTTTTACATTCAGCTCTCTGGCTACCGATGGTCTGGTCCTCTCTGTAATTGTCCTGTAAGTTATGAGAAAAAGTATGTTGGTCCGGTAAGTATGTAAATGGGCAGCTTATAAGAAAGAAGAATTGGAGTTTGCACCCCATTTTTCATCCAAAATTAACTTCTCTCCATTTTTAAAATCATTACTACTTGAATCCCTATTATGATAAACTTTTAATAGATGTTAAGATTGTTTATATTGCAACCAAACAGAATGCACCCAAAGAGTTCACACCTGGCTTTAAACCTTGTTAATGGATTATCCTAAAGGTGGAGTGCATATATTACTGATTTCAAAGAATTGTCTCAAGCATCTTAATGAATTTATCGTTTGTGAGTCACCTTTTTGGCAACAATTCTATCTGAAATTCCACAAATATCCCTGTTTCCATTTGTTGGTGATTCTGGGGGGTGCTTAAAAGGACTAGTCATTATCACTCCTCCCGTAATCTGCAAAATACATAATGAAAATAGAATTAAGCGACATTAAATTTGTGAGGATTCTATAATCACACCCTTGTAGAAGCAGAACTATTTCAAAAGAACTGTTTCAAAAGGGACTATTTTTAATGGTGCAAGCTGGAGAGTTTGGAGTTATCCTTGAAAATAACAAACCTCTGGTCTTTTCCGTTTTAGAGGTGTGACGTTTGTCTTCTGTGTGGTTGTTGTGATAGAACTACTAACTTTAGCTTGTAACATAGACTTTAGACCAGTGTTCTGATCAAAGTGCCTTGAGGTTCTGTCATCTTTCAGCAAAAATGATTGGGATACAGAAAGACTTGCTCCCAAATTTCTGTATTGGCACAAATCGTTCATAAAATTTTCAAAATCCACATGAAAGAATAGCATACGGAAATTAAACAAGTCAAAACATGATATGTGTACAAGTAATATAGTCAGATATTCAATGTAATACTTGGAAAGGTTTTGGCTAGAGGAATCCAGTGTCTGACTGCCTCCAAATTTTGGGCTAGAGGATTCCAGTGACTGACTGCTAGCTTTAATAGGACAGTTTTTGTTGCCACCAACAGGAATGTTCTTTGCTGTTGCCGAAGAAACAGAACTTTCTATGACTCTTGGGTTTCCAGTGTTGTGTAGCATGGATTTACCTTGCTGGATTATACTCAAAGGCTTGACATGAGAACTAATGAAAAACATTCTTATGAGTGATAAGAATTTTACATATAAGCATTTGCTAGTACTAAGCATGTTAAAGGACATATAGAGTTTGTAACATAGATGCATGCGAACAAGAAATAAACAAGTATAATTAGAGGAAAAGGTAAGCAGAGGGAGTAGCTTTAATACAGAGACTCACAGGAATCCTGAAACAAATTATCATTGTTTACCAACCAATGCTGAGTAATCAAAAGGCTGTCAAAAGGATCCAGTTCTTGTTACCAGGTGAAGCACGCAATGAATGGCAGACAATATAAGCACATTTACTCTAACAGAAAAGCTATTTCTTTACAAGAGATACAAGATAGTCGAGTGCAAGAACTATGTCCCGCCGAGTGCACAAGAGAATTGTTATTCCAAATGATGATAAGCATTAAATATGAAAAATAATTAGCATTAAATATGAAAAAGTACTTAAGTTTCAAACACTCCAAGAAAAGAGTGACGTCATACTATAGCAACTCACAATAATAAGGAAAGCTAATAAAAGGAAATGACTGATAACTTGGTGCACACTTCAAGAAAACCCGACGGTCCTTCTTGAGGTGGCGGTACTCTTGGCCCATAACATGAACACCGATTTTAGATATATAACCTGATGGTATCAATACTTAATTATTATTATTTTTCTTCTCCAAATTTCAATTAAAACAGATTTGTATATGGTTCCAAGACTCATCCTTGTGAGTTATGACCTTTGATGTAGTAACCAATGTATCCTATTGTTCTTCATTGAGACCCTAATGTCATATACTACCTCAGTCCCACTAACATTGGGACATGAGGAGATGACACGGTTGTTAAGAAAAAAGTGAGTTGATGTGTTTGATGTTTAATTGATAAAGTAAGAATAAAAGAAAAGTGATTTAGAACCACACAAACTTTACCAAATTTGATATGGGACAATCTTAGTCGGGCAGACCGAAAAGGAAAGATGAGACAATGATAGCAAGACGGAGGGAGTATAAGATATAATCGACGAAAGAGTTTGACCACTAAACAACTTATGCTAGCAGTTATGAAACTGACCAAGCTCACAATTAATAGTTTTGGAAACAAACTTCTTGAAAAAAGTGAAGTTAAACCTGAGTATAAGAAAACTCTTGTCAATAACGATCTTACATGTTAGCAGAAAGGCGTTTAAAGCTGTCCTGGCTTCCTGTCTGAAGAGTGCTAGTCTTGGATTGTGGTCTCGATCCTGGCAATGTGATACCAGCTTTCTTCCCATTTTCATCATCTTTACCATATGCCCTGTGAAGAATATTTTATTGAAATAAATTACATGTTAAGAATTTCTTTTATCAGGGTAAGTTTCCCTTACATTCCTTCATCTGCATGATTTGGTTGGCTTGAGACAATTCTTTTGCTACCAACATCAGAAACTTTTGTCTGCAACAATGATTTCTGCTGCTTTTGAGTAGTAGTCTCAATTGATGGCATGAAAAACTTGGACCGGACGGTGCTGCACTCTCCTTCTCCTTGCATCAAATTTTGATCAGATCCACTGCACAACTATGTGCCATTAACAATTCCAGATCAACACATTTAAAAGCAAAGTTTTGCAATCGAGTTTTGTAATCTATGCATAAATTTGCATTGGTTCAATTGCTAGACCAATTTGGAGTACTAGGTCCCCTAATCACTTAATTTGGTGTTTTTATCACATAAAGACAATAAAAACAGTTCCATTTGCAATTCAGAATGCTTTGATGATCTCCAATAATCAGCGAGGACAGTCAAATACAAAGTAATTTTCTACCTGCTTGACGTGGGTTTTAGTGGCTTAGAAATAGTTTCTTCTATCTCCACATTAACTAATGTTGAATGGTCATCCTTCTTGGGACTTGCAATATAAGTACATCCAGGGTGTGTACCGTTCCCTTCTATATTGCTAACCAAAAGATGTTTCTCTTTCTCAAATTTGCCACTTTCCTGAACAGCTTCCTGTGATGCATTCTTGTGATATCTAGTCAATCTTTCAGGCATTGTTTTAGCCTCATTTGAATCCAGATTAGCTACGTGTTCAAAAACATTATCTGTATATGAAGAATTGATATTTTCACCCATGGGACAATCTTTTTCCAGCAAGTCAGAACCTCCTTTGCTGTTTAACTTGTGTCCAGAAGAATGGTCAAATACATTTGCTGTGGCTTCAGGAGCAACTAATTGTGGAGAGGTTCCCTTCTCTATTTGCAACTCTGTTGGTTGTGTGTTTGTAGATGTGCTTCTTTTTGGCAAGGTTCTTGTACGCAATAAATCAGATGCATGAGTAACTGTGGTGAAAGATATTGATGTGTCAGTGTTATTTGCATTCTTCCTAATAGAATCAGGCGTAAGACCACTAGCAGCCGAAGAATCAGCTGTTGAAGTCATCTCCGTCACAGAGTGCTTTTTGGGTGCGCCAGCGTCAAGTACACCAACATCTTCAGTCAGATGGACTACAGAGCCTTGATGTGCACTTGTTTCGGAAGAACCTTCAATTTCTAGATCCTTCTTACTTTGATCTTCTTTCCTCGGGCTTGACTGAAGACTAAAAATGTCCAACCTAAGCCCCACGAGAGGAAGAAGATGGAGAAAGGTGATTAGCCATGCTATGTTTGGTAAAGTACGAGCGGCTTTGGCAACACTAGAAGTGTGAAGTTCTGACTTACTCCTTAAAATCAAAGTGAAAGTTAAAGCCATCTGTCTTCCCCTTATTACTGGCACCAGAAGATTCTTTGGGTTTCTCCTTTGCCTTTCCATTTTTCTTGGATGGAGAAGAAATATCAAGGTCTGGCATGTCAATATTGAACGACGGCATCTTGCTAAAATCACTGTCAAGATTGAAATTCATATCCCTGTTGAAAATTTAATATATTAGATTATTATATGTCGACCTTAGTACAAAAACCAGGTATAGTAATGAGATGGCTCAGATTGCACAGAAAACCACGGTCAAAAACTAAGAATAAGTCTGATGTAGAATAGAAACTGGAAGCACGTGCAAAGATTTGAGATCACCTCTACATCATAGATACCTACCATCCCAACACATTAATGCAATTAAGTAAGTCAGGATAAGGAATGATAAAACTATGCAGCAATTACTCTTGATCAAAGTTGAATGCTTTTTTCTTATTCTTGGAAATAGGCCCAAAGTCAAAATCCATAGCATCGTCCCCAATAGAAATGGACTTCCATGAGTTCAGAAAGTCGTTTCCAATGTCAAGATCTGTAGCAAATATCATGGAAAATCATAACTATAATGCACAAGAATCCATAGACAACACGAAGGAGTGAGAAAACATTTTGTAGACTTTTCAATTTAAAAATATGCAGTTTGTTATTCTTCTTCAATAGTTTACACAGCCTAGCATATCATTGTTTTTCAAGCTAAGGCATTTTATATGTTCTTCCTGCATATGCCAAAAATTGCAATGCGAGTTTATGCCAAAATTTGCAATGCGAGTTTATGCCAAAATTTGCAATTCGAGGTTTATGCCAAATGTACCAGACACCGGATTTCATCAAATCTATGAAACTGGAAAACCCTGCAGAACTCTGTTTCTTTAAGAGTGAGGTTTCAATGAGAACAACCATACAGGAGATCAGAATACCTAGCAATGAGCTTTTCTCTTTTGAATTGGCAGATGAAGAAGCTCTCTTCTCAGTCTCTGCCATCTGGGATAGAGATTTTAAAATGTCACTAAAAAATCATAATTGTTTAGTTGTGCAGTGGCTAAATAAGGCATCAAGATACTGGTGCACAAATTTAGCCGAGTAGCCGTCCAGCAAACAAATAAGTGAAGCAAACAAATAAGTGAAAGCAAAACAATAAAGGACCCCCCCCCCCCCCCCCCCAATGAAGCAGTGTAGCTCAAAGGATTCGGATGAAATAAAAATTTCAATTGCAAAACTGTCACAATTATATAAAGATGATCAAGCTTCATCCTAACTAATCTTTTGATTCTTTTCAACAGCCAGTAATGCTACTCTAATTGTTAAAAAAAAAAAAGCAATGACCTCATCTAACTATATAAATATCCGTTTCCCTTTTCTTATGTTGGTTAAATGAAGCAGCAGGAAAAAGAAACATGTTGGTGAGAAGAACTCCAAAACATAACCATTGCTCCAAAAGCACCAAAAATAATAGAGTGAAGACAATATGGGCAACATTTGGCAAGACAATATGAGACCTCTCCGCTTTGATTTGTCCATGAGAAGAGATAACATTTAAAAAAGGTCAGACGTTTTACACATAGCAATACCTCTCAGACACTCATTCAAAGGTGGAAAAGTTTCAGAAGAACTAGTCATAAGTTAATTTAGCTGAGAACAATTTTTTGTTAACTCGAATGAAAGTTCACATCCTAGATACCTAGTATAACAACACACTTTCTGACTTGCATATACTTAATGAAACATAAAAAAATCATGACTGAAGTAGACATAGATACCAAAAGAATATTCAGAAAGTATAAAGCATAGCAACTATCCAGTAAGTCACTTTAATGTTTTAAATGAACAGGGAGGAAGACTCATTCGAATTTATAAGATCCAATATCACTTCATCAAGTTGAATATGTTTCACTTTACTCACTATCTTCAATCAAATCCAGAAAAGCTGGTCTAAATAAACCGGGCAGGAGCAGATCTAGCTTTTTAATCCAGTGGGGGCCTAATTTCCATATATAGAAAATAATTTCAATTGCAACAAAAGAGTAAATAAAAAAATAAATAGTATAAACGTTTTGCAAGAATATAAGTTTTCACCAAATGGAAATACAAACAAAAACATCACAAAATCGCACTTGTTCACTACAGGAAAGTTGTTCACATTTGTCAAATACAAAAAACACATCCATAATATTTATATTGGTTTAAAGTATGTTTTTAAACCAATATTCATTACCTATTTCAACTCTACAATAATCCACCACATTATATGATAAGTCAGAAGTACTAAAAAGGTCCTCATAAAAATTATACTAAAAGAAATGAGATTATTATTAACACCAGCTAATGAGAATATGGTGTTAATAGTGAACAATGCGATTAATAATCACAATTTTCAATCACATTAATAATAACGGGATTAATACTCAAAAATCACAAATCCAAATTACATTACTACTAATTGGACTCATACTAAACAATGAAATTTGATATACTCATAGGAATATAAGATGATGAGACAGTAACCACAATAGCAAAAAAAAATAAGAGCTCTTATTCACGGTCAAAGCAAGCATTCAAAAGAAACTTAAGATAAAGCTGAAGCTAAAAAGTAAAAACAAAATAAAAAAGGAAGAAAGCTGAAACAGACTAAAAACTAACGTGAATTTTGAAGTCCTAGCGCCGAGTAGTAGAAGACGAGTAGGCAGCAGCGGAAGAGTATGCAGACTGGAGACGGTGTGCCACGGGAACGCGTGATGGTGCCGCACGGCGGAGGATTCAGGCGGCGTGACCGAGTCAGGTACTCAGCGATGGACTAGTCCTGGGCCCCTGGCGTCCGGCGTGACCGACTAGATTGCAGAGCCGAGCGACGGGAACGAACTGATTATGGCGATCAGGAGTTGCAGACTTGCACGTGCGAAGAGCGTGCGTTTATTAGGCGATGAGAGTGGGCCGGTCGCATTGTTTTCTTTTTTCATTAAAGTTGGGCTAATAGAGGCCCGTGTGTAGGTATTAACGCTTTCTAATTATTTTAGATATAGGCCTGCGCCCTAATTGGCCTTAGGCCCGATCCGCCCCTGGACATAGATCATGCCGCAATATGATCCATGTTTTTCATGAATATAAAAGACCACAAGTTAATGAGATCTTCACAATAATAACACTATCTAAAAATTACTTTAAAAAAATTGATTAATAGTCTCTCATACAATCAAATTATACAGTTTAGTTAAATATAACGACATGTCTGGCATAACTTTTCAAATATGGTAGCTTAGTTCAGAAAACAAAATATTCAGGGTTAGACATTTCCATCCTAAAAGGTCAATCTGATAGGAGCAGTAGTCTGATATAGTGGTTCACATTTTATCCGTATGAGACAAATACTTCAACATTCTCTTCACGATCAGCCACTTCGTTTAGAATTTGTTGTCATAGTTAATTTTTTCATCGGTTCTTCACAATTATTTTTCATTTTTTCATAATTGTCATCATTCTCATAGGGTCGCACTGTGGTTATAGACCGTTTTGGATATGATATCTTCATCCTAAATTGTGATATACGGAGGAGTATTGGTTTATATTTTATGGGTGTTTGACAAATACTTGTAAGAAAATTCTATGATTGCAAATTTAATAGAACAATATAATAACTAATGTCTAATTGGACAAAGGAGGACAACTGTCATTGTTGAGCATCATCAGATTATAAGAAAAGTGAAAATAATACAGATAAAAAATGTGAATGTACAAAAGAGTGAGGGAGAGACATTGATTTTAATTGTGTAGCTTTTGCAATTGTACGCGATTCCAATATGTTGTTCTTCCTCTTTCTGCGCCCAAGGAAAACAGAGAAGTGCAGGGCAAGTGATGGATAACCATACGGACGGGATCGTGATATATATGATCTTAACGCGCAGATACTTCAAAAAAGAATACTCCAACGCCAATAATTTATGGGACTGGTGAAATCATTAAAATGGGTATTGTCTAGCCTCTTTTTTAAAAGATGGTGATATTCATCACCTAAACATCTTAACCAAAGTAAGATAACTTTGCAAAAGGCTTGATAATGAAAACTGTGTGATTTGACCAAATGAATTTGAAATAATATTAATTGAAAGTTTATTATCATAGAGGCTGCAACAAAAATAAACTATTAGTAATAGTACCTTACAATTAGAATCAAACACGATTGGACAGAGCACATCATAAAAACCCCATAAAAATAACTCACAAAAGTTGCGCATCTATTTTCCAAGAGGCGAGCAAGTGTTTGTCAATAGTTACAAAAAAGTTTCTACCCATTTTTTTCCTAGTTAGTATTAATACACGAAAGATGGGAAGACTATTCATCAGTTATAAACTAACTCCACAAATTAAGCAACAAATTGCTATATGCGCACAAGATGTGTTAAATATATTCCAGTGGTGGAACAACTGATGTCATACGGTCCTGTTGTTATATATATAAAGATTATTGTTGTTATTGTTAGCCAGTGTTTTTGTTTTGGTATATAATAATGACTATTTAATTATTAATATTATTTGGTCAGTATAACCATTTCATCACTACTATTGTATTGAGAATGTTTCCGAAATATGAGTAAATACATTTTGAAATTTGAAAATATGATTGCAGTAACATGATCGTATTTACTGTCATCTTGTAGTCATTACTGTCAAATAATTTCAGTAATGGCCTTCTAGACATTAAACATGGAATCACAATATTTATTGTCAATAGTGATAATATTTTTCAAACATGGCAGTAATGAATCCAATTACAAGAAAAAAAAAATATAGCAGTCCTATTTTGAAATTTCAACACTTGTTTACTCCTATTAGGGCAATTTTTCTTATTGTATGTCATTTTAATTTTCTTTAATTTTTTATGTAATTATTACTTGGATGTACTATACAATTATATTTTGTTGTGTTTATGGCTATAATAACAAAAATTCATGTAATAGTAAACTTATATCGAATATTACATTATATTAAACAGTGAATAAATTTTAATTTTAACTAGAAACATATCTTATGGAAATGAAAACTATTCGGATGAGATTTACGGAGTATTTTGAAGAAAATAGTCACTATGTACAATGTAACATATTATTTTCTATAATGAAGTACGTGATAATTTTGTGACACATAAAAGGAGTGCAAAGATTATCTATTTATATTTAAAAAGAGGTGGAATTTCTGGCGGTTTTCCCGCCCAAACGCTTGGGTATAAATCCGGGTTGGGTGTGTAGCATCAAATCTTGCAAGGTTCTAGTCTGTTATTGTAATTAAATCTTTGGGTTTTGGTTACAAGTTGGGGAATCGGGACAATAAAAAAGAAACTGCAGCTCTCTGCCCAACATCAAAAGCTTTATCAGTAGCCCGTAGGCTAAAAAGACAATTCAACATTTCAGCTCCCTGCCCAATACATTTCTTGTACCGAGTGGGTGCACTACAGCTATCTCTCTGTTGAATAGATATTGCTCGATATATGGAGCTGCACAGTGGTTGTACAATAAATAATGAGTCTACAACCTTTTCACCCGACCTCGGCCTCCGTAGCAGGTGCCCAACTCCAGGAATCGCACAATGGTTGTGTGTTTTGTAACCGGTGTCACTTCCTCCAACCCAGACGATGATTTTCAGGTTCAATTTGTTATATTCCGTAGCATTTGTTGTGTAATTTCAGTAGTTAGCTCCTCAGTCTTGACCCTTCAAAACTCAAAATCATTCTATATACCACATCTTTGGTTATAAAATCTACAATCTCATCTGAAATTGTCAAGCAGTCTGAGCCGTAGGACATCAATGCAGGGCAATATACTCTTCCTATGTTTGACCCAGCAAGACGACGACCAAACTGGCCATTTGAGACAGCTCACGAAAAGGTTTCTCACGGACAAATTTCTTGATCTTGAGGTCGAGGACTGAGAACATGGGGCTCTCCTTTTCAGCTACGATGGGCACCAGCAGAGAAATGGCACCAGAATCAATGGGGAGCAGTGAAAACCAACAAACTCAAGCAGTTCCAAGGTGGAGGCTGATTGTTGGTAATACTAGCAGGTTCTATCAACCATATCCACCATTAACCCTCACAAATTTCAAACTTTTGGGTCATTAATTTTGTTGAAAGTATAAAGTTTAATCGTTGACGTTTATTGGTGTTGAAAGTAATTTTGCACTTATTTCAAACAAGTGTCACTGTTTGACACTGTTTTGTACTATGTTGTTTACCCAAAAAAGGAAAGGGGACTTTTATTCAAGGACAACCTAAAAAGGAAAGAGGGAGTTTTATTTAGGGACGGAGAGAATAGGTATTTCGTAAAGTATTTCATTTCTTTATACGTACTACTCCATATTATAAAATATAGTTTTTATACTAACTTATACTCCGTATATTTTTCGTCAACTTTTTTTTGCAGACAAAGAGACTAAGTATGGGTGCAATCAACGATTTATGCTGATAATTTGTTATTGTAATATTGTAACAAAGATTTATACGAAATGCTATGTATGAATCATCTATGTTGTACTTGCCCATTAATTCTTCTCTTATGATGTTGCAATGTGTATTTTTGTAATGATAATGAGCATTAGTTTATAAAAATACATAGTATGTTGAAGCATATGTTCAATAGTCAATTCAACTTTAGTGTTGAGACAAATTGGTTTGATTGTAATTGTGCAAGACTATGGAAGTATACTCTGTATAATACAATTTGGTAGATAAAGTAATGTCAAATGGAAATCTATGTTGGTGAAAGTGACAATTAGTAAATGTATAACAATATTGATTCATGATGTGTTTAAAAAGCTACTCCGTATAAGTTTATCACTCTTTATAATATTCATTTTTGTCCTCTTCCAAAACACCATCAATACTAACTTTCACTCTTACTAATTATTACCTTTATTATATAATACCTCATATTCTATTCTCATACATTTACACATTGTATGAAGTTTTGATGTTATTTTTTATATAAGGAAAAATTGACTGGAATAATCCGAACTATGGGCGGTCCGCTTCTAATAATCCCAACAACGAGTTATATCTGTTTAATCCCAACTTAGGGGGTAACTTTCCTAATTAAATTATGACCGGCTAGCCTAAATGATAGCCGGTTATTATATCATGTGATAAGGCACGTTTGTATTTATTTAAGGTATTTTGCATCCTCCTTCGTCTTCTTAACACACAATTTAGCGATTCAATGCAGGCTTCTTCGATCTCCATCTTTCTTTTTCATCTGCCTCTTGTCTGGAGTGGAAAAAGCATACAAATTCAATGGCATTGAATTCTAGGTCGTCTTCACGGGGAAGGAGCGATGAAACAAAGAGTCAAAATTCCATTCAGTGTTACTATGAGAGTTAAAACAATATAAAATTAATTATTCATATTTTTAAAATGTATTAAAACCTTCTAAAAATAAAACCAAATACTTTATTAATAACATGACAAAGAATTAGAGGAAATCTATTAGTCAGGAATTTTTCGTTGTCAAATCGAGGTTGTTATCATCGGTGGTGGACTAACATATATTCTAGGAATGAAAAACAAGAAAATAATTTTGCAGGAGTGTAAAACAAAATGTACTATATTTAACCGGGACTAAAATCACATTCAAACAATCCGTAATTAAGTTGCTAAAATTACACGAGTAATAGCGGGTACAATCGAAAGTTTTGGAACGTAACTAAAATTGAAATCTCCATAACAAAAATAAAAATAAAAATAGTAGTCATCGTAATACTAGTAAGAATAATATGGATGAGGATGAAAATGATGCTGATCTTCATCATCATATACAAAATCAATATTAACATAATCAAAACAAATTTAAAAATTACTCGGTCATCTGATCAGACTATTACGAAAAATATTAAATT